CGGGGCTCCGCGCCGCTGCCCGTGCACAATGCTGCAACACCATACAACACACACACACTGTAAGTCAACTGTTCATCAATTCAGTGGTAGACATACGAGGAAGACTTTATTTATAAAAGCAATTGTAAGTCTAGTTTAATGTTTTGAGTCTGGCGACTGAGATAAGTAACAACAAGCTTACGTCCCTAAGGCTAAGTAGTGTTAAGGGGTAACATAAATGTGTTATGTTCTTGATGTAGGCAGTGGGCGACCTGTGGCGTTGTGGTCGGCGGTGGGCGCGGCGGGGGGCAGGTCGTGCGCGGTGCGGAACACGGTGAAGGCGATGTCGTGCCGCAGCACGTCGAAGTCCCACGTCAGCACGCTGTGAGGGTCGCAGTTCCGCACCACCACCTCGTGCACCTGACATACAACGCAACCACGTTACACGTACACCACTCCACTTCAATCAATTTGTCACGTGTCGTGCTTTAACGCACCTGTCCTTTAGCGAGGCTGACGGAGTGGTAGATGCTGTCCTCGCTGAGAGGGTCGCCGTCCCGCTCCGTGAAGGCGCCGCTCACGTACAGGGACTTGGGCACCAGCCCGCCCTCGTGCACGAAGCTCTGCGCACACAACGACCTCATATAACTATACTTTTCCCGCACACGTATTGTCCACTACTTGCTCTTCTCTGCCTCGCTCTTTTTATATCTTGTTAGGGTTTCCTCTTACAATTTAGTGCTGATTTTACTGTGACAACGTAAATAATTTTTTTCGTGAACGTGCTTTTTTATGTCTTAATATTTGTTTTAATTTTTAATACACATATTTATTAACGAATAGTGATATTAAGATTTTTTGAAATCTACCTACTGACAGCACGATAGATTGTTATAGTGATAAATACACATTTATATTGGTGTACGTAAGTATAGCTGACTGCGGACGAGACACTTCGTGAAGATTTATGTGCTAATGTCTAACCAAGCGACTATTTACTATTGCGAGTGATGAGTGATCAGATAAATATAAATAAACGTTCTATGTTTGTCATTTTACATGTGTTTCATTCTTATTAATCTTTAATCATCATCATCAGCTCACTATACGTCCCTACCGAGGGGCTCGGAGCCTACCCTAAGTTAAGGATGATTAGGCCATAATCCAAGGCACATATCTTTTAATTTCTTCTCAGATATGTGCAGGTTGCATCACGATGTTTTCCTTCTCCGTAAGAATGTCGGATAAATGTACATATGTAAATCGGAAATCGAAAAACACATTGGTACGTGGCGGGATTCGAACCAAGGACCTGCGGATTGCAAGTCAAGTGCTTGACCCCCTGAGCCACCGACGCTCTAGACACGAATATTGATTTGTAAATAATGTGAAAACTTTCTAAGACGGAGCATTTGTTCAATAAACTAGACATTATGAGACATTGTAGGAACAAATAGACACAAGCTGTGTGCTAGTCACTGGCGCCAGTGTGCGGCTCACGTACTGTCCAGTAGCAGCGCTGCGGCACACGCCACCACCACCCCGACGCGAATCGAGTCTGCGCACCCCCAACATACCTACTTGTTATTTTTATTACGCTAATCCAATTAAAAAAGGGTAAAGCTTCATACATTTTTTCATGGTTTATTGAATGATCACCGCAAAGGGTGTTTTACTATAATGTAGTTAAAAATGTGGTTAAAAATCGCTTACGAGAAAATAGTAGTATTATAAATATTTATGTTTGAATGAGAATAATTCACCTTGCAAGGTCCGCCGAGGAAGTCAGGTATCAGTTCCTTGGGGATGTAGTCCAGCAGTCCGCCCGCCTGCAGGTAGTCCTTGCCGCCGTAGAACAAGAACTTGCTGCGAGTGTTCTCGTCTGCAAACATTACATCACACGTTGTCACAACACTCACACATTGCTCTTTTTAAATCAACTAGATGTAGCCCGCGGCTTCGTCTGCGCGGTATTAAAAACAACTAAATTTAGTCTGTATATTCTTTCAGACTATGTTCTACATGAGATCTGTGGAACCGTTCTGCAGATACCTTGTAACAAATATCCATCAATCTATCAATAAATTTGCAATTATAATATTTTACTAATATTATAATTGCAAATTTGATATTACAAGATAGTTTGTGTGAAGGAAGAGATATTGTAATTTATGTGACCTATGAACGTGCTGACGATGGTCCAGAGTATGGGGAAGACGCGGGGCGCGCGCACGATGAGCACGCGGCCCATGGTCTCGGGGTAGTTGGCCTCCACGATCTGTATGACGCGCAGCAGCGCGCGCACGCCGGGCCGCCACAGGTGCCGCATGTTCAGCCCGTCCAGGTCCACCAGCAGGCACCACGCCTGCACCGCCCCCGCCCCCGCACGCGTCGCCTCCTCCAGCTGACGCAGGCCCTCCTCGCACACGTGCAGCGTCTGCGTGCACACACACACACACATACACACACTGAGTGACAACTACCGGAAAAAGTCAATTTCATTTCTTTTTCATTGTCTCCCCTGACTAATTCATGTTCCCTTCCAAAGGGAGAAAGTTAATGTAATTTGAAAAATAATTTACTTAGTGTAATTAAACTTAGTGCAAGTAAAGATGAAAGTTGTTTAACTTCACCAACATTAAGATAAAGTATTCATATAAGTTGATGAAAATTCATGACAAGTGTAAAGCGCACCGCACTGTTACACAACTTTGCTGAGAGCGGTCGGTCCGCACTTAGATAAATGAAGCACTAGATTAATACAACTTGTAACATTAGCTTTTACAACTTGAAAGTTTTAAATTAAATATTACAATAGTTAAAACTTAAACGTTTAACTTTGAATTAACATATTATTTATATTTTACTCTTATGTAATCTTTCAACAGTTAAGAGATATTTGTTAGTGTTCAATAATTCTTTGTGAGAACTGCGACTGCAGACTCCTTGTTCCTAAACTTACCAATTTGAGTAGTCCATCCTCGCCAATGGATTTGAGTAAACCCTTGACGTCCATCTGACCCAAACGCAGCACATACAGCGGCCGACCGTCTGTTCAAACAATTCAAACAATTTGTAAACATTCAAAAATTGTACAATTTCGCTTATAAATTAAAACTGTTTCAATTTATACGTTACCCTTGTCATGATGATGCCATCCACCAGGGAAGTACTGTTTGACAACATCCGGCGTCTCATATTCGGAGAGCAGACGATCCACCTGATGTTTCTTGCGCCACAGCAGCGACTGAGATAACATCTCCCGCGCTTTCTCCACGTTGAAGTCACGCGCACGTAGGAACCTCAGCAACGTTGTGTCGCTAGGCACCTAACAAACACCATACAGAAAAAAAGGAAAACATAAACGTCAAGATCTGGAGGCACGGCAGTGCCCCGGGCCGATACGAGCACAGTGGAATCATCCTTATCTTGACGCTTTAGCTTTACTGCTCAAAACCAGTCATATCCACGATGTTAAATATATATACATAGATGAGATGAAACTGGTAACAAAAGTGTACTCAGCAACAATTCTATTTTGAGAGCGGATATAATTGAATTATGAAATATAACGGTGAGAGCACAAGGTCGCGCGAGCCCGGCCAGAATCGCGAGTCCTTGCTGCCACCCGGATTTCTATCTCAATCGATTTGTCTTTAATATAATGGGAAGCTGTAACATTCTATTGAATCTTTATTGTTTTAGCAACGTTTTGTGAAAGGGTAGGTGAGTTTTTTTTTATCAGATATGAAAACAAAAGTCAGTATAAACCAGTGACGAATCTAGACAATGTGTTTTGTTTACCAAATCACATATCTTATCAAGATAAAATCCTGACATCGTAATGTGTGTTTTTGTATAAATATTATGATCATTATTAGCACTTGATTTAACGGAAAGATGGTTAATCGCCGAAATAATAGTTCATTTGTTTCTTTTAAAACTATGAAACGGGTAGGTAATAAACGTCCTCAACAACAACCATATTATAAAATGTTGTTTACCTTTCCCTTTTGCAGGTCTGCGATCCACTTGCGCAGTTGCAGCAGGCGGGACTCCTGCATGGGCGTCAGCTCGCCCAGGTATCTCTTGATGTACTCGCTGTCCAGCGTGTACTGGTCTGAAACAAACGGTTACATGAAAACTAAGCATTTTTCATTCACACTTTACAACGCAAGGCAAAACTCAGAACAGATTATCATAAGAGGACAAGAACTTTACGTATTTCAGAAAAGTATACTCTTATTTATAACTATAGAGATCACGTACATAGTCTGTACCTGTTTAGAGAAGTTATTAAAAAAACAAAGAAATGCACTTAAAATGCCTTTGAAAGGCACCGATTTCTATAAATGGATAGGCGATTGGAAATAACACCTTTGCTTCGTTCCGATTTAATCGCGCCTATTGATGTTATGAGATTTCCGCACGCCTCATCGACGCCTCAGGGGATCCAAGGGCTGGCGCGCATTTCGGGCAAAGGTTGAGCCTGGCCATCCAACGGGGAAATGCCGCCAGCCTCTTGGGAACCCTACCGTGCGACCGCAGCGATTTGGGGTCGATTTTTTATATTATTTAGTTTGGTTTAGTTTTAGTTTATAGTATTATTTTTGGTAGATTAATTTTAATTTAATTAGTCACTTAATAATTAATATAGAGTTAAGTAATTCAATAATAAGTTTATGTATATATTAAAAATTCTATCTATATTATTAGTTCGAATCCACACCACCGCTTTAAACCTCTACCATCAGCGCCAAAATGGCGAAAATCATATTGGCACAAAATACTTCTTATAGCCAGTCCATTTATCAGTGTCGAAAGCGTCACTGAGATCAGTCAGTTTATTTAAGATGACAAATTAGTGTACGGAAATATTAAGTTTCGTAGCGTGGAATAGACGTTATATCCAACGATATAATTTAATTAAAACAATTAGCTATACGCGTTGGTGCTATTAATTGATGAACGTACTACAAAACTATTCAATATTGTTATTAAAATATTGAAGCCACGTAACACAGTACAATGTAACTTGTTTATACTCGTAAGTATAACAATTAAGAATTCACGCATCATAATGTTACTATGTAGATTACTTAGAAAACTTATTACAATTTTTATATACTCGGTGTGCCTCCTGTTACTTTATATCTTCACAAACGTATGTCAGTGGTTTGGAAAGAGCATTATTACGCATGTCAAAACCGCAACTGGAAGATGACACTAATTAAACTGAACTTTAATTTAAAAATCTCCAAAAGTTACTCTTAGGGTGCTATTCGTGTACATATTCCAAGTACATTGTCTCGAAGAAAATAAAGCGAAAATATAATAGTACGATAAACATTGAATTATTGGTGAAACGTATAAATTAAATGTAGGTTACTTTCCTTTACCCATTGTTTACAATTAAAACAACCTTTTAACATATATTATTGAATACACTCGATTACAAAAATAGTGGAACCTTTTACACTCGTATTGCTGAACAAATAATCCCCAAGGGACTGTGATACTCAGGCGGTTCTACGTAATGTAAATACATATTTGCTTGACCTCTGAATAACGCCTAAAATAATTCATTCGGTCACGGGTATTCTACGCGTGAAAATTCAATGTTTCACGCTCGACCTTTTCCTGTATGAAATGTTCAGTCAACCTTTCGTATTTAAATTAAACATTTGTATGTTTGTGGAATACAAATTGGAATTTATAGTAAATTAATCTTTTTTTAACACAAGCAAAAATAAATTTATTGGTCCTGACCAGTAATGTATCTCGTTATAACATTTCCGTAACTATAATTTCTCTATTTTTTTTTAGACGAAGCTAATGAAAAATCATCATTATTGCAACTATTTTAAAGTAATTTATAATAATTATGACTGCACTTAAGAAACCTTTATAAAGCAACTTAAGTGCCGTATAGACGATATAGAGATATAGTCTAAAAAATCTAAATATATGATTATTTTAGCTTCGCCGTTGTTTCTGCCAACGAAACACTCAACACTTTACATGTAGCTTTCAAAGGAATTCATATAACAAAAGAAGCAATATGTTCCAGACACTTGAAAACGTCAAACGATATTAAACTTTGTACCGTTAGCAACACAGATGCATATTGAAGAGAGATACGGGAGTTTGCTATTCTAAACATTTATGCAAAGTGAGCCTGTTAGGTGTTATAACGCTAGCTTTGTCTGGAACAATGTAAAAATGGAATACAAACTCAACTAAGCGTGTCCGGGTCAAGGCTAGGTCCGGAACGGGGTTACTGCCACTAACTATGCAAGTTAGTAACGCTTTTGCTTCCTTAATTTTGTCTGACTTGAAAACATTATTATTTCTCTGTAGTTAATATTGAAAATAGAAATTTGAGGCTTATTTATTATGAACCAGTACTCGTTCACTTGATATCCATTCTCGCTGTAAATGTAACACGGCAGTTGTGACGTCTAAGCGTGACGTCACAGCTGCGTGGGCGTTGCATGACCATACACCCACGCATCACGATATTGACATATAGTACAGGAAGACAGAGATGTTCTTTTCGCTTGAGACCTGTTTTAACGTTTTACGTGAGAAACTATAATCCATGGACATCTATGTCATAATGATGTGTAAACTGTATCAAAGAGCACTTCCAAGTGCACTTGCGAGTAATAAGATATACTTGAGTAGTTATGAGGAGTCACACTATTTTCTTAACTAAATTGCGTAATTTCATAGTTGAGCGGAAAAAAAAATAAAAAAAAATTGTTGCATATGCGTATATTTAGAATAAATTAGACTTAACTAGCCGTTTGCGGGCGTGTCCCTGTAGTTGAGGGACATGGGCAGCGAGAGTAGCAGGATGAGCACGACGAGGAAGACCGCCAGCGCCGCCAGACAGTTCTGATACAGGAACTGGCCGAGCGCGGCGCGAGTGCCCAGCTCGCAGTGGCACGCCTTCAGCTCCGTCAGTTTCAGTGACGCCTCCGAGTCCGCGGGAGACAAGTACGGCTCGTTGAGGGTCACCCTTTTGGTCTCCATCCTATGGCCCGAACCCAGGGACAGCAACGATTTCACCTTAGATGTTTTTATCTTTTCTGGCATGAACCTCAGCCGCGATGATGATGCTTTCGTATCTTCTCTTCTATCCAGTTCGACTTCGCTGGTCGCATTCGATGGATCCAACTTTCTATGGCTCGACGATTTGGATCTGAGGCGGAGGTTTGAAACATCTTGGACTGAATCTTTGCCCAGTTTTGTTGCTGATTTGCTTCTTGATTTTAGGTTTCTCCCTGACCTTTGACTTGATAATTTGCTTGCGCTCTGTTGGACGAGGTGTGATGTGCCTGGGAAAGGAGAGGAGTTGGTTAAGTAGGAAGGGAAAAGGAAATAGGATTACTTGGGTACAGGATTAGTTTAAAGGTAGGTGTTGAGTGTGTGGTCTCGGACTCGAGCGCTATTTTTCCGTTAATACATACGCATTTAGTTTGGAGAAACATAAACATAAATCCGTTAAAACGTTTAACATATAATTTGTAAACACAAAAACTCGACAGCTGGCATCATCACGACAAGTAATAATTTATTAGTGCCCAGCCATACACTGGCACAGCTGGGAGCGACCTTGTGACCGCGGCGCGGGGTACTCCCCGGCCATCAAATATGCATACACCATTCGTCTACACATTTAATATTGAAAATAATTCGCACGTTATGCCCCACAAACAAACCAGTATCAAATGGGTTACACTGTAATTTGAATGCTTTACTTAAACGACGAAAAAACGTAAGTAAGAGCTTCAGAAATTCTCAGATATGAATGTATTTCTTGGCACTACTACATTTATTGAATCATGTAGACAACTCTTAAATACACGTAGCACAGGATTCAATGCACGATATTCTGCCGTATAATCTATATGAAGTTTTTTAGTACCGGTTCCGGTTCTTCTGCGTATAAAAAAATAGTTAATCAAAGACAACTAAAGTTCACGTGGCGTAGCAACCTTCATTTTATTCTACACGGAAGATTCTTATTACAGTGTTTACGTAACTTTCCTATTTTAAGGTCAGAGAATTAACTTCAGTTAAAGTGTTACTGGAGCGCAGGGTTTGGGGGAGAGGCGGTCGATGAGGGCGCGACCTTGTCCCCCGATATTAACGGCACTCGATCCAATGTGAACATAGTCACTTGTGCACAGATTTACAATCTTTTATCGGACGTATCTGAGGACAATAACCTGATGTACCAAAGACATCAAGACATTGTTTTATTCGAATATAAATCTCCAGTATTTAGTGTCAACGTCTATCAGTCATATTGATGGCAAACCGCACGAAAAGCACGAATCATACGGTTCTTCCGTTTTATTCGTTATGCACATAACAAGCATAAAATTGGAACAGTTATTTCCAATGCGGTCCATATCTAAACGAAGTTGAGGAAGTTAAAAATATAAAATTTTCTAACACTAGCAAAAGTTTACCAAAACTAGCAAAATTTTGATAAGTCTGTAAGAAAACAAGTTTTGTCATCTGAGTTAGACGATACAAAAAGTGAAAGTATTTAATCTTAAACACTTTAAATAATAAATGTAAAACGTTCGAATGATTTATTGCTGCGTCTGCATGCAATAGCAAAAGTCCGCAACGCAAGATCCGTGGGTGTAGACAAGGCGAGTCTACTGGCGGGACGCCAATGCAGATATCCCTAGTCTTAAGTACAATGTTTTCCTGTTAACTCCTGCTGCATTGATTCTGGATATTTTCAATCGCACGTGTACTGCATGCCTGTGATATTTATAACCAATCAACAACCAACTAACATTTGTCAACCAATCCGAATTAGGCTAGAGTGGTTGACTGGTGGGGATTGCACCTCAATGGGGACGTATAGTGAGTTGATATGATATTTATAACAATCAATTTCGAGTTTCAAAATCTGATTATATTCATCCTTTTACCACAGTTAAAAGTTCCTTAATGTAATATTTAACTTATTTTCAAACTATCTTTTATCTGTGATTTCATTAACTTCAGTTTACTTGGAAATCATCAGCTTATGTTCCGCTAAAGAGAAATTTTGCAATAACCAATTAGTTACGATGCGATTAAATTGAGGTTAATTAAACGACGACTTAGGTAAATAAATTTTTTAATGTCATTGTATTTAGTGTTCAGATACAACTTGTACATCATATCGATTTAATATAAAGACAACAAATTCCCACAGACTAAATATTAAACACTAGTAGTCGCCCGCGACTCCGTCCGAGCGGATTTAAAAAAAAACCTTTTATCACTAGCCTGTGACTATGTTCCACATCAATACCAAATTTCAGCGATATCTATCTTCTGGAGATACCTTCTAAAAAAAAAACATCCATCCATCCATCTAAACATCCGCATTTATATCTCACGACAACATTTGCTAATCTTGGTTGTAGATAAATAATTTACATGGAAATAGTTATTTTAGTTCCTTCAGAAAAGATGTTATTTGCCTCAGTGAGAAATGTGAGCATTTCTACGTAAATGGCACACGTTTGACCTACAAACAAAATAAATCTTGCGACAATACAACGCTCATTGCTTACAATGCCTTGAATGTTTGCCAAAATAAAGACTAATGGCTTGAACTTGAGAAGCCTCAATAATTTATAAAAGAAATTATCTGTGTGGTAACGCATTACCAGGTCTGTGTACATAGAAATGGACTACTAACCGTGGGTTTCTAAGACCAAAATCCCCGTTTAAAAAATATTACATATCTCTATTTCGTTAAAGACATGAATGGCGTTATGATTCATATGGAGATTTTTGGTCTCCGAAACCAACGGTAACTTTTATAATTTGAATTAGAGATTAAGGCCTAATCCATTATTAGAGTTAATATTTAGTAGTATAAGGTTGACTGGATTTAATATTTGCAAGCGAATTAAAATTCTGACTAAATCTCTAACTACTTATTAAAATTGCTTGCGACATCTAATTGCGGAAAGTCGAGCGCGATCAATATCTTCAACGTTGGTTTGTTGGCTAAAATTATTTAATTACTTTTTATTATTATTTCTTAAGACTTCATAAATATTATCCTTTTAAAGGCTTCCAATTAATTTAATAATAACTATTTGTAATAACATCCTGTCGAACGCTATGTCAATTTAGTTTACATTATTATATCAATAGATGGCAGAACATATTGTTTAGATCACGATATTGATTTATTTGGTATGTTTATCGACTTGCCGATCGCATTTAAATAAAGTTGACTCGCACCAAGATATAACCAGTGTTTCATTGTGACTACTCGATACTTCTCCAGTGAGAGGGAGACCTTTTTGAGACTGCTTCACACATCCCAAGCGAAAAAGTTGTTCAACACTGGCAATAGCGGTCCATTCCCGGATGTTTCTCAGTCATGACTTTCTCCTCCTTTCAACTCGTTTTCTGCCTACGATTTTGCTCATCATTATGAGTTTTTCGCTTGGCACAGGATAGGAAAAGGTTCGCTGAGCTGACGGCCAACCTCCAGTAATGGAGAGGCATTAGAAGAAAAAGAACATCCCAAATTGTAATCATCGAAAACGGTGAAAATTTCATAAAATTACCGCGCGACCTCTAATATCTAACAATTTCTAAATTCCGACAGTACAGATACAAGATGCAACCCCAAAACAAAAGATCGGCGGAAGAATTTTAATTCAAAAATGCCTACCCTATTTCGAAATATTATTTGCACTATTACTAGATTTGAAGTACCAGGCATACATAAACGCAAGTCAGGCGTTTGTCAGTCATTACAACGTCACGCTGTCAGTGACGGCATTGAGCGCCACACTTTCACACGACCTTACCGCGACACCAACTAAATGTTAAACATTCTGATCCTAATGTTGTAACTTTTATATAGACTAGATAAGATGCGTTAGACGTCTTAGTATATAACAGATTAAAATAATAGCTCTCTTAACGTTACTTTTTATACTTAATGCGTGCTATCATAGATAAAAAATGATGGCATAAAATAAATGCTGTTTCACCCGAGGGTAAACCACAATGCTAAAGAAAAAAAATAATTTAAAAGTATGTGTTAATGAATGCCGTGTAAACCTAGCATATGTACAAAAGCTGCAGTGTGTGGAAGTGTACCTGGCAGCGAGTGCTTCGAGAGGTCCTGCACCGGCAGCGGGGAGAGGGGCTCGGCGCCGCGCGACACGATGCGCCTCAGCTCACGGTTGTGCGCCGGCTGGCCCGCCGTCCAAGGCTGCAGCTCCGTCACACCCTCAGCGAATACTTCCCGCATGAATGACTCGATCAATTCCTTGCCTACCATAACACAATACACCTATTAATATTATAAAAGCGAATTTTCGATGTATAAAGGGATGGATGGACCCCGCGCACAAAGTCGCAGGCAACAGTTAGTATTTCTATAAAGCTTTTCCTGGAAGATCCGCAGTACTCAAGTGTTGTTAATTGATACATGCTCATAGTGCCTTAAAAAGCTTTAGAAAGTACCTTTAGCAATGTTAGACGCGTACTGTTTCATGGCGATTTTTTCCACCGTGTTCTCGAGTCCGAAGAAATTCTTAACGTCGAGAAGAGCACTCTGTTCGAAGCAGGTCCATTCTGGATTTTCTGGATGTACCTGTAGGACAACACAAAGAAGAGGTTCAGAAGTCTGCAATATAATAGAAATGTTACGCGATTTGTATTATTGTCTGGATTGAGGTGAAATATTTGATAGTATCGTAAAATCAAATATACGTTCTAACACAATTTAAAATTGAAAGTATACAGTACTCGAAACTTAAGCAACGTCCGCTACAAACTTCTGCGAGTACGCGTTGCACAGATAGTAATTGGTCTGCGTGGAATGCGTTAATTACTAACAGGTATCGATTTAAATTTTAAAATAACCAATTACATTGCGAAAATATAAATTCGAAATATAAACAATTTTTTTTACTGACATTATATTTGCGAAAGTTTAGACGTATGGATGTTTGTTATGACAATCTCCAGAACACCAATCAGATCTCATTGACATTTTGGTATAGATTCAGAAAATAGTCTAAAACAACAATTAGGGAACTTCTAAAAAAATTTAACTCTATGAGGACGGAGTAGCGGACCACAGCTAGTATTCAATAAAATTAATAACAGCATAGTATATTCTCAAATTAGATATCAAAAAATCTTAATACTTTAAACATTTATTCGTCGATATCATGAATAACATGAATGAAAACACTAAAATAAACATTCGCTATCTAATGCCAACTTATTCCGGCGCGTTATCAAGGAAACGCGAAAAACCAGATAAATAGCGCTTCCCGAATCTCGGGCAGAAATAACACGATGGCAATGTCACGAGTCTCGATAGCACACTATCTGATAAGGTCATCCTGACGGACGTTGACTAACACGAGACCAGCAATACTTTCTCTGCTTACATTTCGTACAAAAGTAGCCTTCAAGTCCTACCTGAACATAATTATAACATTACCCACAAGACGAAACCGCAGAGTTTCCTGACAGTCAATAACTGCTGTATAGTTCTAGGATATACGGAAGCTGTGAGGCTATAAATACATGCAAAATGAGTGAGTATATTATATAAATAGTGTAGTACTAAGTTTATATATAAACCGATGTGACTAGCACATCATAAAAGGCGAAGACTATTCATTACTTTGGAGTGCTTCAGTTGCAATCAACTTGCATCGTATTTTATGTCAGCCTAGTACCTTACTCTCAATACTTGCCATAGAAACTAAAATATCTTTCTTAAAAATGGAATTAAATACGGTCCTATGATTTGAATGTGACATTGAGTTCATTCAGCCGTTCATACAGTATGCGATGGACACAGTCACGTAAGGCGGCGGCGATCTCCGTCAATGGCACAATAAACCATTTCCTACACACGGCGAGTTGCAAGTCAGAGACACGCTTTATGCATACGTTATACGAAACAATGGAGCTGTTGCCAATTTTTATTCATTTATTTAATTCGCTGTAAAATTACCAACTTATACCTTGGATTAGAAATATTTCCGTGAACTATCAAAATACGTAAAATTATGATTTCCGTGTTGATAAGACTATATGTATCTCAATAAATATATAACAACATTACTTAAACTGGTTTTTATAGGTAACTTAATTACTTGTATGAGATATACTTTACGAAAAAAAAAGTAGCGAATCTACCAAACGTAAAATATCATAAACAGCCCTCCGCCATTAAATTAGAAGAACAGGCAAGCAATTGAAGAACTTAACACAATCGCCATTATGACTAAAGTCGTGTAACTTAGTGAAGAATCTACTTGAGCATCAGGCAAAAGACCAGTTTTTTCCACGTGACGCTAATTATCGCTACAATTTAATACAACTATGAGAACTGGTTATTACAGAAGTATAAATGAATTTTAAGATTGGATATTTGTTAAATTAAAAATTTTAATTGAACGAAATTTATCAATCAATCATGGCATATCCAAAATCTTAAATGCAAATACATTTTTAGATTTTAAAAATTCAACTATTTTTATATAATAATATTTTTTTACTACAATACGTGTAGCAAAAAGATGAATCAAGTTGCTTACGTTAAAGTTACCTTACATGGGTAACCACCATGTCCCTTTCAGAAAGAGAGAGTCAATAGGCAATAAATGTACACATCGCTTATCGTCTTTAGGTAACATTAATACATTAAAATTCTGATCATAAATGAAATTAATTTCGTTTGAAGTCGAATGGCAGTATGTTTGCTGTGACAGGAACTTCGTATCTAATAAACTATTACATATTATATCGGTTTGCGTTTTATTAACAAAGATTCCCGCCTAAATGTACTTTGAGCAGTAAGGAACTTCCAAGAGTTTGCTATCACAATCCATCATTGGGATTTGTTTGTATTATATTTGGCTTTATTTTTCGTTGCTATCGTTAGCATCCAAGCCGTTGCTAACAAGGCTCATTAGCCGAGGCGATGCGAAGCGATTTCTGGAGGATAATCCTTCGAGCCACGTCGAACAGTCGCCTAATTAGATTCTTTACGCACTGTAAGGCTTCACTCGACCTGAGGGTCGGGTTGCCGTTGATTGCCATCAAATTTAAATAATTATACGATAAAAAAACGATCGTGTCGAAAAATGGCATGCATATTAAGATATCCTTAAGGGTTCAGCTTTATTGAACGTTACTGAAGATATATTTATCGACAAAATATTATTAGACCGTGAACTTGCTGGCAGGTAGAATTTTGATTTCTTCTTTTGGATTTTCAATACCTTTACACGTATGTATTATACATTACATTACTCCATACTCCCTCTGCTCGGTGCTGGCTATGTACTTTAAATATTGTAGTTGTCATTATGTACATCGCCTGCAGAATATCAGTACAAAAAGCACACGAAACAAACTCGAAATTATTAGATGTTATACATATATCTGTTTACTTTGTAGAGATATTGAAAATTTCCCAAATATTTACAACTAGTGGAATTTAATTCGCGCATGCCGGCAACCAACAGTTATATGCGAGTTGGGCAGCGCTCACCGCAAATAGCTCCCGCGTCACACCATGTTCAATAACAAACTAACCGCGAAGCCGGAACCTTCACAACATTCCGAAAAGTATTTACTGGATATATTCAGGCAGAAGAGCTTTTTTAAAATAATATTTTCATGTATATATTGCGTACCTAGAAATATAACAATAACATCAAATGACGGCTACCAACTATTGGTTCAATGATATTAGCCTGCTGGGATTCTTAACACCTTTTGTGCCACTACGTATTAATGTGAAATCGCATTATGAGTCGGTGGCACTGAACGTGTTAACTTCAACAGTATTATCAGTGATGAAAAATACGTTAAAGTGTGGTACAATTTAAATCCCTCATTAATTGGATTTGAACCGCAGACTTACGGCACGTGCCTGCGCGTCCTCGACTAACGAGTAACCTCCAAATGTCTGCGACATTGGACAAAATCTCACACGACATTGTGTGCACTTTAAGGGTATCTTTTCTAGATATGTGTTAGTACACGTTAGGAGAACTATGCTTGTTGAGAAACTATAGGAATAGGTTTCTACCACATTATTGCACACGTCTAGAGAAGGGTAAACTGTCCCCCACACCAGGTCGTTCATCAATAATATTTTCAACGACAATTGAATACAAAACGTATACGGATGTGTATAAACAGTGATTGCTGTTCGTCGGTACTAGCAGGAAATTATTTCCACGCATACATACGTGACGTAAATTAAAACAGCTACGAGTTAACAGTAACAAAATGTATAATATATTTCTTTCGCTTTAGCATTTTACTTGATCAATATTATCAATACTTTTACATGTATTCGTAAATGTATGCATGTAGAAGAAGCAAAAGAGGTGTTTGGACCCCGCCAAATGGAAATCCTTGGTCTCTGCCTACCCTTCTGGTTTACGAGTTCCAGCTTAGGTAGTTGTTGTATCAATAGTATAAACATTTCAGGAATTTATAAATATAATATTATCCTTCTGTAAGATTATTGTAAAGTAGAAGATAATCAAATATAGTACGAAATCAGTGCCAACTTTAAATCTAAAGTTGTGAATTATTGACCGCAGTACGTTTCGTTAGCGTACTTACGTAATATCTGCATTTCTCCAGCACACCGATCCTGGCGGCGAATGTCTCATTCGTGGCCTCGATCTCTAGAACCCTGTTCCTTAGGTCCAGATGGTTCTTCTGGATGAAATAAATGTAGTCAACGCCGATCATCTGTGAGAAACAATAACGTTGTAAATATCTTCATAAAACTTTTATTTGCGGAGTGTTATGTATGTTATTTCAGTCATAGAAACAATGGTTTTTGTCTAAACAGAGCAAAGACACGACATCTTGTTGTATAATTTTGACAAATGACTCATTTAGTTGTTCAAGCAGAAAATTGCCACAAAAATGTCCAAAACAAAGAAATAAAGTATCGATAAGATTGAAGAAAAGATATTGGCAGTTATACAGAACTGTGGTCAATGCTCTCTGCTACTAAATGTTGGTACCCTATATACGCCATATTTAAGATAACCGTGTCACATTTTAGTCTTCATAATTAGGTGACAAATGCCTATCCTCACTTCCTAATCTAAAAAAATATTCTTCGATAAACATATACAATCAGGAATCAATACTATTCTAGCTGTCGTCATTAAAGGACCTATAGTATGTTACCGAGGACATCCTACATGCAAGATACCTTTTTAAGTAAATATGGTGCGTCGACGTTGAGCTGACAGCGGCGCGTGGTGTACCGCTGCGAGTCATCCGAGCTCCAGCTGTCGTCTGTGATGCTACAGTCAATCACCACGGGGATCTGCGGGCAGTGCGGGAACCGCCTCTCGTACGCCTGACAGACACATTATATCGATACATAAGTCTTTCAAAATCGCATGCAATCACAAAATGAGTAACGCCCTGTATATGATTGTGTGCCTGTTTTTTTATTATAATCAAAAAATATACAAGTATATAAACATAATTTAAAATAATTCAGCGCAGACGAAGTCGCTGGTAAAATATAGTATCCAAATAAAGGAAGTAATTTAAATATGATTGAATATTTGAAGTCTACCAATGTTGGGATAATGTTTTATGCATATGATAACGTGCCTCATGGTAATGTTATGTTGATATGACCAAAGGTTGTCAATCCCACTGCTTCTTGTTCCAAGAAATACGGCCCTGACGTTCGGAAAGCGATAACTTTTGAAGTTGACATCCATTGCCGCGTAATGACGCGGTCCATTAGTTCTTTCCCTAGTGTCAAGTTGAAATGGAATTCGCAAATGAAATTTGTCGAAGCGTTAAAGAGAATCCTGGGCCAGTTTTGGTTCAATTTATGTGAATTTCAATGTTTGTAAAATAATGTAAAAATATTTTTTTGTATAACATAAATGTAAAACATTGTTAGGCGTAACATTTTTGTGTAAATTCGAATTCTGATGAAAGAAAATAAATATGTTTTTTCATTTTCTGTTGTTAATAAATGTAGGAGGCAAAATTGTTTCATTCCGCAGCCACATTAAATGCCCTTATGACATACACGATGTTAACTCACAAAACAATATTGAAAATGCGTTAGAGAATAGTACAGTACATGGTAATATCGGATATCGGACGTGTCGAGAATATCCGGCAGCGCAGTATTGACGAGGTCGCCCTTCGGCAGCGGAAAGAAATCGACGTACTTACGACACACTGGCAATAACATCGTTTAAATAGCAACAGTACTGATCGACTAACTTAATTTATCAGAGCCTATGTAAACATTTAGTACATAATTTTACACCGTTGTGAGAGTGTGCTGAACAAGACAAGTGGATGCAGTTCATTAGCTTCAGATGCAACCCTTTACACGCTGACCACGATCGTCAGATACCAAAGACCGACCTAGAGAAACTATTTCTCGAAGATCTCTAACATACCTAATATACAATAATGATATGAGTAAAATTCATAAATATTTAATCTTGTCTTTGGTAAAAAAATCAGTCGATTGAAAATTCAATTTCAAATTTCAAACTTCGCCGTATATAACCACATTCTACAATCGATTTTCGACCAAACATCGCGCTTGAGAATAAATGAATATGAAACAATGTTCCAAATGTTCTACTAAGGTAATCCAAAACGACAAATGTAATCTTTACTTAACTTTTAAACACACATTAATGTGTGTGTGTACATCATCATCAACTTATTATACGTCCCCACTGAGAGGCTCAGAGCCTACCCTAGTTAGAAGTGATTAGGCCATAGTCAACCCTGCTGGCCCAGTGCGGATTAACATATACAATCAGTATTAACAACAATACAAATGAACACATAATCAAAGTGGCGCGGCCACCTGGCCACGTTATGCAAACTCCAATCAATGTGCATAATGCTAGTGGCCAAGTGGCTGCTGCACGCTATACAATGCACGCTACAATTCATAATCACGTGCACTTTTATGCACAAAAAGATCGAAACAAGTATTTTGCACAGAGCACTGTAAAATATCTAGCTTTCTAAGCATTCAAATCTAGTAATTATTTATTGTTACCTGTATCTATAAAAAAAACTTTATCTGTATCTATAAAAAAAACTATTTTCAAAATGAATATTTCCAATGTTTCCCCGCACTGAGCGACACTGCCTCATTAATGTCAATTTCTTGTCAACTCAACAAGGGGAAGTCATGAGAAATGTTCTGCAGTATCGCTTCTGCCGTCTCTTGATTAATGTTTGTTTGAAAGCGGTTTTACTTACACAATCGATATGTTATTTATTTCATTAAGATTATGGTAAATACATCAGAATAACATTATAAATAGATTAACAAAAGCTTGTCTTATGTTACGTTTATTCCGACATAACATCATATGAAGAAGTTACGTTCATGTAATGTGGGCTTAATAAAAAACGATACTCCATATTCCAATCATTATTGGTAGCAAATACTTGTATAATATATTATTACAAAAAACATGCTTTCCTTTATATTTATAGATGATCCTAATCCTAATTTACGTCATTAGATAACATTTACGTAGTTTCACAGCACAAAAGCTTGTAAGTACGTAAACAGTTGCTAAATATCTGCGCATTTGGCAATCTGCAATCTAGATCGGACCTAGACGTTGCTCAATTTCGCGGCCCCATTCAGGTATACTATTAGGACATGTTAAAAGTACAAATACTTTCTTATGTCTTTTATCAGTCTATAAATATACGTTATGCTTTAAACATAATTTGTTTCTTTTTTGTTTACAAAAAAATCCTAACAGAACACAAATTAATATGAAGTTATTATGAAATTTAACAAAAATAATTGGAAACTCACTAATCATCATCTACGCCCACTTTGGTACGTAAATGCTAAAAAGATAATCTTTCATACAGTGACCTTATCCATTATATAGAATTTCACAAAATTGCCGCGATGAAAATAATTCCGAACACGTGCGTGGTACACTCGTGTGAAGCAAACTACGCGGTACTTGTGTGGCTTTTAAAGTAAGGAATTGTAGGATTTTTACAAATTACCATTTTTATCGCGCCTCAAAGTGGAAAACAACGAATACGTTTTAAGGAAGAATGAGAAGAAAATTGGTTAGGGTTTTTCAAATAACTTTTGTTTACTGAGTTTTTAGTCGATAAACTGAAAACCTAACTTATTTTTTCGATGAATACAGTAAAGGTCTAAGTATGAACAACATACGGTGATTCTATGTTCATATCCAGTATTATTTTCGTGCTAAAATAAGTTGGCTAGTAGCCTGCGCACTCCCGCATTATGAGGTCGGTATAAAGGTCGATTGGTTTTACTAAGATATTTTTATATCACCAAGGACACAATTTTATTGATTAGCAGAACTTTACCACTCTCATACATTAGAAAGTAAAGTACGCACGACCATATAACTTTATGAGATGCTAAAAGACTGAAAACAACGAATCTACTTCGAAACACAAAACACTTTAAGTTCAAAGTAAAGTTTTCTTTTTTGGCATACAATGACTAATAAATAATTACTTAATTAGTCCTAATCGCTCTAAATAAAGTTATTAAAACAATATTAATAATTGTCCTAAAAAAATGATATACGCATCTTCTTAAACATATAGTTAGTCCACAGATGAAATCAAACATATCTTTACATTGACTCTAGTAACTCTTTGCAATAATTTTGATTATATCAACACGTGCACTACGTATACACATAAGAAAGAATTGATAAAGGTCTGACATTACTCTTACGTGTCGATCTTTCGTAGAACTTAGCGAGCTTCGGGAATTGTGATAGTCAACGATTGATGTGATAAGCTATCAGCTAGCATTGGGCACAGACACGAAGCGTGCTAAGTATTACGTCGGCGCCTGATACACGGGCCAAATGTCACACGCACACGATACGGTGACCAACTGCGGAAACAGTCTTTTTTAACTGAAGTCTCAAAGTTTAGATTAATGAACGGATGGATTTATTACCACCTAACTAAGGTACGGTTGAATTGATCTGGATTACATTTGTAACAGATAGATTACAGTCTGGAATACCGCATAAACTATAAGACTACTAACTCAGTTGATTTACTACTTTTATGATATAAATTTCTCTATAATGAAAACTAATAAAAAGTAGTCCTTAAAATCGCCTTTTCTAGTCTGAACGCAACAAGAGATTTAATCTTTTAAGAAGAATCCCGCAAATGCACAAGACATAGCGACTTTGTCTACTCAATTAGCGCTATCTTACTTTTAAGCACAATGGCCGGGATATTGACCACATAATCATTATGCGATTATTATATTCTTTGTCGTAACGAACACGTTTATAGTAATCATGTTCTTTTTAAATTTATGAAAAGTATTGTGTCGTGCGGTGTGGCTTTTATCAACGCAACTATACAAACAGTCTGTCTAAAGTAGACGGACGTACAGCATTTGTCATTTGTCTACAATAGTTTATGGTAATTTCTTAAGTTCACAGTTTGTATGAATTCTAGAGACAAATACGTATTTCCAATTATCGTTGTATCGACCGTGAAGTAGATTATCCTCGACTTGAGAATAGCATGCCCAAACAAGTTGTTGCGGAAGGCAATAACACCACATCCTATGGTCATGTCGACATTACAATACACGCAACAATCACGTGAAATGAGTACGCCGCTCTACATGTCGTGAAACTTGTATTAAAGGATTCAGGACAAGTGTCACGTCAATAGAATACTAAGGTTACTTAAAAACTTGTGAGGTGAACATAGTAGGAAACCGTAATAGTTTTTTTTTATAAAATATCTTGTCCTGATCATCGATGATAATTTTTGCTCGAACATTAACCATGTGACAATTAAGCTCTATTGAGCTACCCCAACTATTAAGTAAACAAAATACACAATCATAAATGGGTTCATAAAACTGTCAGACGTTGAGTCGCCAAACATGCAACGTTTACGACTCCAAATAACGAATGTAATGAAATTGTTTAGTTCGACAATGCACGTATACTATATTTATTTCTTATAATACTTTTGCATTACCCACAATGACAATAAGGAATGAATATAAAAAAAGGATGAAAGATGGAGTTTTCGAATACTTAATTCCGCGAGATTGTATCTCAAGCTCACTGATATTTTTCTGGAACGCAGATATTAACGAAAAAGGACTATCTTAATCGTGGCAAAGCTAATTCGTAATAAACAACTTCAAAGTGCGAAAATTAAATGCGAGTAAATTTTCTACGCAGGTCAATGTTTTCGCTTAAACAAGATCCAGTCACTCTGACCCATTTCCGAAAGCAAACTTACCGAAGTATACAAGGGTCGTCGACCGTGTCTGTGACGGACCGTCGAAACCCTCGACAATACTGCGTCGCAAAGACAACCATATGATTGGTTGTTTAAAATATAAAATTGAATGAATCACAATTTAAAATAAGAATTCAACTTGCATTGGATATACTTTCGAGTGTTACCATGTTTAAAACAATTTCAATCTTATTAGAACATACATAATGTAAAGATTTCTCCGTAATTGAGTTATGACAACAAAAGAAACAAAAAAATAATGGAGCAGACAGAATATAAAAAAATTAATAGGTCTTGAGACATGCCTTTGCCTCATTTTAGAAGGGGGGTTGAGAATAGTGATGTACCTAAAATCTAATCAGTTTCATAAAAAAAATAAAGTTGTTAGCTACTAACCTAATGAATACAAATTAAATATAACTAGAACAAAACGTGATAACATTGTCATATCAGACAAAACAAGTTTTTTTTTTCATATTATCTCCTAATTAACTTTAATGAGACTCGTAAAAAATGTGAACCTTGTACATTTAGGTTAGCGTGAATAAGTTAAATATTTTAAACATCTTATATGCACACTCATAATCAATTTCAAATTATAACTTATTTTACTAAATTAATATACTACAAATTAACTATAATTCTAACTGTACGTGGGTTGTTGATGTAAATTGAATGACAAAAATACATCATTCAAACATATCCAATAAGAACCATACACATTTCCATGTATTATCCTGAAATGATACTGATTATTTCTTGGTAGTCGAGGTGCTGTTCCAGACTGTGTTTTTTACATAAATTGGCAAAATTTCATTGAGATTGGTTGAGTGGTTATTTTCATTTATAATATTAGTAAGATAAGAAAGCTTTATGCACTTCTCCATATTAACTTAAACTTTGACAAATTTCACATTTACCTGTTCAAGCAATTTTATTAAAAATGCAAACTTGCAAATTTCAAACTTCCAATTTATAGATTACTTTTTTTAGTATGGAGTACAATATGTTAACACATTCCATATTATTCACTTTGATTTGAAACAACAAGTAAATGTGAGTAAATTTTCCTCAATTAATTATGTTCATACTAAATACATTACAAAGTGTACATGAGCTTGACAATGTTAAACTTTTTAGTATAAGATGCTAAGTGCTTGATAATACAAGCCAATGACTGACTTTTCCTGTAATGCTACATTGATTTATGTGGTTACTTGTTTTGCTTAGAATAGTAATATATGTATATTTACCTTGTAAAAGAACAAAACAATACTTAGTGATAACTGAAAATATGGGCCTTGGGTATATAGGTATTTTATTTTATTCTTATAAAAGTATATTAAATACCATTTTGTGTTATTCTACACTGAACTGAACATTAAATGTAAAGGATGTCAGTATTAGTATAAATATTGCTATAATGTATTTGTGACTCAAATCTAGAGAAATGAAACCAGATTTCGAGTCATGACTGTTAATTGTAAATAAGAAGGACGGAGTAGAAACATATTAGATGGCTAAAAAATGAACCAATGACGGATCTACTGATTTTATGACACTAATTTAATTGTGCACATTTATGTTCTAATTACAAGACAACAACAATAAATAAAAATACACTTACGGCCATCACCATTTCGAACGGATACTTGTGCACCCTGACAGGAGACACATATTCCTGCACCATGATTACTAACTCAATATAATGAATGTCTTAAACAAAATCGAGATTCTAAGATCTTCCACTATTAGTTCTTTACACGACAGTCATTCTGAATACAGAAAATCCGTGTGTTTTTATTGAATAAATAATGTACAACAAAGTCCTTTCACTCACGATAACACATGACAACAAAATAAACGAATGTCAAATAACTCCAAAACTCACAGACAGAACTAAAATCGACAGAGACGCCAGACGGCAACAATGAAAATGAAAATGAACGATTTTAAATAAACTGTTGAATGAAGATTAAAAGTGGAAGAACGAAGAATACAATCACTGCTCTCTATAATTGGATAGGTCATTGTTTACGAATTACAACTTTTGCTTCTTTCCGACTGAAAAGCGGTAAAGCACCTATTTAAATTCTTGACAGTGAGTTCTACCTCTATTATTGGTTCAAACTCTCAATCCTGATAACAAAAATGACCAAAATGGCGAACATCAAATGGCCACAAAAGTTACAGCTTATAGCTTGTCCATGAATGGAGGTCACATTTTTCAAGTCATTCACATAGAGTAAATGAAAGATGTCTTTCAATTAAAAAAACTGGAAGGATTCTTCTGAAGTTTGCTACAGATTCGATTTTTTATGTTTTAAAATCGATTCAGGATTGTGTTTACAGCAAAGAGTATAATAAGTATACTATAGAAAGAGGGGCAACTCGCACGAAGTCGTGGATCCACGGCGATTGTGGCGCTCCATGCGTATAATCGCTGAACTAATTTTTTTTTTTTTTGGTATCTATATACGTAGGCACGCTTATTTAGCTCACTATAATAATAACTGATAAGTGGGAATCTAATTTATGAAATTAAAATTGACATTAAATCAATGTTCAAAAATAATACACCCACTTATCAGTTATTATTATAGTGAGCCGATATCAAGTAGCCTTCTATGAAATACCTCTATTAAAATGATCCTATTATTATTGGGGAAATAAAAACAAAATATTTTTGTATTTTTGTACATTATTTATTATATTTCTACATAACTTAATTTTAAATCTATGCAAGTACATATACATCAATGACTTTCAAGATATCAGCTCAATATTTTAATATTTAATATATATATTTGAAAATTACATTTACGGTAATAAATAGTATAGCGCGGTCACAAAAAAATGCATACCCTGTAATTAAAACCAACCCCCAAAATATTTTCAGTCACATGCAAGCTGGCAACTGGCAATTTGTAGTTATTTGCGAGTTTAAACACTCTGAACATATTCTCTTACAACATAGGCAAGCAGATTTTTTTTTACAATAAAAAATTACAAATAAAAAAATATATTTTTTACATATACACACATGGACCCACCTACTAATTTCAGACACATCAGTTTATGGCTCTATAATTCCAGTGATTGGCACACATTTTCTGAACTTCACTGAGCTTCTCTCAGGAAGGGGGAAACCGTGTATATGTGCACCTACAACAAACAAACAGAATGTGATTTCCTGTCAAGTATAGGAACTGATATGTAAAATGTATTAGAAGTAGGGCACCATTCAATATGATAACCGGAAAGTATAAATCAATGTGGTGCTAAAAACTACACCAAAATACGAAAATATTTAAATGTTTAAATGAGTCTGACGTATGGGAATAACATGAAAATTTTTATTGAATTGTAACTTACCATAATCAGTCCATCTAAAACACAGTTGCATACAGCGTCGTTTTTCACGAAAACACATTTTAATTAAAAACAAAATGAATGAAACAACATTTAACTAAGAATACAAGAACAGAAATAGAAATACGAAAAAACGTAGCGGTTTGATGACACATGAATGTCTCGATGACAGAAATGATGCTTCTTCTCAGCCATGAGATGAAATGATGTTTACGATTATATAAAAGGTGGCGCCACTTTCCATACAAACCGTCGTTCTTCTAAGTTTCCACCCCCTGGTTTACAGAAACAAAGAAACACAACAAATACCATGCAAATACGATTAAAAAATTAAACAAATTATATGGATTAGAATAACTATAGTAGGTAACTTAAAGTAAAAATAAAGGATTTCAAGAAGGTATTTTTTACTTCTTTTATTTAATAATTTACAGATAACTTTATGGATATCTTTAGAGTTTTTTCTTTTCCATTTAAATTCCAATATATCTGTCATTTTTCAAATTCACAGTACACACATTTTAAGTAAGTCAATCAAAACTAATTATCCTTCTTAGACGTTTTGTGTGATAATATAAATGAATATTTTTATTTAATTAATAAAATAATTTAACATCTTTCATAGAGCTAACATAAAAAATAAAACAACAGCAGAACTTCCTGGACATTTTTCCACGTTGCCTCGCGGCTAAGTTCATGACAGTGAGTAAGCGGGCCTTCATCGAAGCGAAGAGCGAATGTCGTCCCCAATAATTTGAAGACTATTTCTTGATTGTGCTGGAGAATACAAAGCAAAATTCTGTCAAAATTGTGCGCGTTCGTGCCCGATGTCTAGTGCTGAAGTCGCCGATAATTCCGTTGACCCCCCGGCGAAAAAGCGGAAGCTAAATACAGGAGAGACCCGTTGCAAATCTGCAGCAATGGCGAACAATGGAACGCGTGTGGAAGATGAAATTGACGAAAGTTTGTATTCCAGACAACTTTACGTTCTCGGACACGATGCTATGCGCAGGATGGCCAGCTCTGATGTGCTGGTCTCCGGCCTAGGTGGTCTTGGAGTGGAAGTTGCAAAAAACGTGATTCTCGGTGGTGTTAAGTCCGTCACCCTGCATGATGATCGCGTTTGCACAATTGCGGACTTGTCGTCTCAATTCTACTTGTCTGAGTGTGCCATCGGTCAAAACAGAGCCTTGGCTTCATGTGAGCAATTAGCCGAACTAAACCATTACGTTCCAACCACTGCGTATACCGGAGCCCTAACCGAGGAATTTCTGAAGAAATTCCGTGTCGTAGTGCTGACTGGTGCATCGTGGGTGGAACAAGAGCGCATAGCAGCCATCACTCACGCTAATAATATAGCCTTAGTTATTGCCGACACCAGGGGCTTGTTTTCACAAGTATTTTGCGACTTTGGGCCAGAATTTACAGTATTAGATGTGACTGGTGAAAATCCTGCATCAGCTATGATAGCTGTGATCACGCATGAATACGAAGCCGTCGTCACTTGCTTGGATGACACGCGCCATGGACTAGAGGATGGAGACTATGTAACATTTAGTGAGGTATGTATATTTCTCGGAATAGATATTTTAAAAGCTTTTTTTATCATTAATAAGAATAAAAGAGTTCCTTCTTAAGACTCAATAGGCTGTATAATCATCGTAAAGGTTTATCTAGCAGTCATATAGTATGTGAAGCAAATTAATAAGATGTTTAAAATGTTCAACATTGAATACCATCTCTATAACACTTTTGACTCCAGAGAATATTTATTGTTGGACATTGTAAGTTTAAGTCCATACTTATTTATATCTTGGCAAATCAACATGTTTGATGACATGAACTTGCTTGAAAAAAAACAAAGCTTATAGATGATGATTGGGCACATTTTGGTTGCAAAATAACCAATTAATAGCATAAAAAGTATACAGAGGGTAGATTAGGACTTATTCATTTGACATACATTTCCATAATCAGATTGCTTCAAATCAGTCCCTGAAAATGATTTTCCTTAAATTTCATTATAAAGAATCAAAGCTAATCATATTTTAAATCATAATATTCTACTTTCAAGGGATTTTAATGTAAATAACACATAAAAATAATTAGAACTTTGAAAATATCTTTTTAGCATGTCTTATTGAATGGGAATTCAAGATTGCATTCAATGAGCAAGTACTAAATATAACTCATCATATACTATTGCTATGGCTTCAAATAATTTTGAATCTGTCATGAAACCATTACAAGATTACATTATAATTACTAGCTGTAATATACTTTGTATTCCATTGTCAACTGTCATCATGTTTTTCAGAATATATTTTAATTTGATAAACAAAATTTTGTAGCATTTACCAGTTTTACCATACAGATAACATGGCTAAGTTATTTACCAATAGAGACACTAGTACAGAATTCTAACTCCTAAGTCAATTTTTTCACAATTTCATACCTGAGTATGGTAAAGGAGTACTGCTTTGGGCAAAATCTAGTATTAGTTTGATTTAAAAAGAAACCTTGTCAGTTTGTCAAAAGTTCTATGGAAATGTTGCATCATATTTTTATTAATAAATAATTTGATGTTACTTTTTAATATAAGTATTGTATCTTGATTGTTGTATTTATAGATCCAAGGTATGACTGAACTTAATGGCTGTGAACCACGTAAAATCAAAGTGCTTGGTCCTTACACCTTCAGCATTGGCGACACTACGAATTTCACAAAATATCAACGAGGTGGTATTGTTACACAAGTGAAGATGCCCAAAAAGATCAATTTCAAACCCCTTAAGGAGTCTATCAAAGAACCAGAGTTCCTGATAGCAGATTTTGGCAAGTTTGACTATCCGCAACAGTTGCACTTGGCTTTTGCTGCCCTTCACAAGTTCCAGGAGGCAGAAGGACGTTTGCCAAAACCGTGGTGTGATGCTGATGCCACCAAGTTCCTGGAGTATGTAAAGACCTTAGTTAAAGATAAGGAATTTTGCAAAGAGGATGTTGAATTGAATACAGACTTGTTAGAAATATTTTGTAAGGTATGTATATTTTATAACTACATCTTGTTATTTAACATGTTTCGCAAATATTTTTATGGTAGTGTATATAGAATATATAAGATTGTATTTATCTTGGCACACTTTCATAGTAAATAATTCTGCAGGTATCATCTGGAGATCTTAACCCAATGAATGCAGCTATTGGTGGTGTAGTGGCACAAGAAGTGATGAAGGCCTGCTCTGGAAAGTTCCATCCCATAGTTCAGTGGCTGTACCTGGATGCTATTGAGTGCCTGCCCAAAGACCGCTCCATTCTTACAGAGGAGACATGCAAGCCTGTTGGATCACGTTACGATGGTCAGGTGGCTGTTTTTGGTCGAGACTTCCAGAAGAGACTTGGTGAATTGAAGTATTTCATTGTTGGTAAGTACTTGTTTTTATATTTTAATGCATTCAATTTGCAACAATATTGCACAAGACTCTTGGAGTGCTTATCAACAATAACTACCGTGAGCTGTGACCTCGGTTACACATTCATTAAGTTCTAGTTTATATTATGTTTATCTCTATGCATTAAACATAAAACACCTGCATAAAATTATTACATGATTCATTTAGAGAAACCAAATTTCTATATTGGTATTTAGTTCCCCAATTTTCTATGATCTTTTATTTAAAAAAAAATTATTAAAAAAATATGCATGGTAACTTTTCACCATAATTGACAAATTACCAGTTTCCCTACTTTTACTTTAATTTCATTAGTCATTTTTCAATGTTGAACACAAAGGTTATTGGAAAGATGTGACTGTTTATAATTGAGTGACTCAACACAATGTTTTTTCTTTGTACTGCACAAGACTCATTATCTTACAAGGGCATTGACTGACAATAGTCTAGTGCACAACTGACTGCAAACTCTATGTTGATTAAAAACTGAAAATAATGAACTGTCGCTAGAAACTTGCCTTAAAAAAAGGATAAATAGAATTTTCATATTATTATATATAAAAGTTTACTACTTATTTATAATTAAATAAACCAAGACAAGATAATGTTTGTCTGCTTGGTCTTGCATCAATTTCATTGGTTGTTTCCAGGCGCGGGGGCTATCGGGTGCGAGCTCATGAAGAACTTTGCGATGATTGGTGTGGGCGCGGATGGCGGCTGCATCACCGTCACCGATATGGACCTCATAGAGAAGTCCAACCTCAACCGTCAGTTCCTCTTCCGCCCCAGTGATGTGCAGAAACCAAAGTCCAGCACTGCTGCTAAGGTATGCATTGCCCAGCCATGATAAAAATATAACTTCTAATGTTATATGAAAGCTTTCACTGACGTATTATCTTATTCATAAAGCTATTTAAAAAAATAATTATCTATAACTAATTTTGTAATTTCAGGTGATCAAGAAAATGAATCCATCAATGAACGTGGTAGCGCACGAGAACCGCGTGTGCCCGGAGACGGAGTGCGTGTACCACGACCAGTTCTTTGAGCAACTGGACGGCGTCGCCAACGCGCTGGACAACGTGGACGCCAGGATATACATGGACCGCCGCTGCGTCTACTATCGCAAGCCGCTGCTCGAGAGCGGCACGCTTGGCACCAAGGGCAATACGCAGGTTATTTTGTCAACCTAATCTACATGGAGGGACCCTCTAATAATCACAACAACTTTGTACATGAATTAAAAGTTCCTTGTGTTTAAATGGCGTGTATACATCCTGCAGGTGGTGGTTCCATACCTGACAGAGTCGTACAGCTCGTCGCAGGACCCGCCAGAGAAGAGCATTCCCATCTGCACTTTGAAGAACTTCCCCAATGCCATCGAGCATACGCTGCAGTGGGCTCGCGACGAGTTCGAGGGCCTGTTCCGGCAGGCGGCCGAGCACGCCGCGCAGTACTTCACTGACCCCCACTTCCTTGAGCGCACCATCAAGCTGCCCGGCAGCCAGCCGCTCGACGCCATCGAGAGCGTCAGGGTAAATACACTACTTCTATTTGTTTCATCGTGTAGTTCTAATAAATCTAAAAGTTACATCCATTCTTAAATATTTACTACTCCTTGTGGCATTTTAATATATTTTTTTAAATTTTTTAATCCCAGAATGCTATCAATGAACGCCCAATGAACTTCGAGGATTGCGTTACATGGGCTCGTCTGCATTGGGAGAGCCAGTACTCGAACCAGATCAAGCAGCTGTTGTTCAACTTCCCTCCGGACCAGCCCACTCTAAGTGGTGCTCCCTTCTGGTCGGGCCCGAAGCGCTGCCCCTCGCCTCTCGTCTTTGACCCCGAGGATGAGCTGCATCTCGACTACGTTGTGGCCGCCGCCAACCTCCGCGCGCAAGTGTATGGCCTGCCCACCTGCGTCGACAGGGAAGCCATCGCAAGAATGGCTGCTAGTGTTGAGGTATGATCCTTTTCTACAGTCTCAGCCAGTCAAGCCAAAAATATTTCCTAATAAATTGCAATAGTACAAATTACATTATGTCTATTAGGTAATTATGTCAGTCAAATTTCCTAAACAAAATAAAATGACTTCAGGTGCCCGAATTCAAGCCACGACGCGGTGTTAAAATCGCAGTGACAGACAACCACCTCGCTGCTCAGAACAACGACCACATGGATCAGGACAAAGTAAAGAACATAATATCGGAGCTTCCGCCGCCCGGCTCGCTCGGCGGCCTCAAGATCACACCGCTCGAGTTCGAGAAGGATGACGACACCAACTTCCACATGGACTTCATCGTGGCCGCGTCCAACCTGCGCGCCGCCAACTACAAGATCCCACCCGCAGACCGCCACCGCTCCAAGCTGATCGCCGGCAAGATCATCCCCGCCATCGCCACCACCACCTCCGTCGTGGCCGGCCTCGTCTGCCTTGAGCTGTACAAGCTGGCGCAGGGGTACAACGTCCTCGAAGTCTTCAAGAATGGCTTCGTCAACCTGGCGCTACCTTTCTTCGGCTTCTCGGAGCCCATCGCCGCACCCGTTAACAGCTACTACGACAAAAAGTGGACCCTGTGGGACAGATTCGAGATCAAGGGAGAGATCACGCTGCAGCAATTCCTCGATTACTTCAAGAACGAGCACAAGCTCGAGATCACGATGCTCTCGCAGGGCGTGTGCATGCTGTACTCGTTCTTCATGCCCAAAGGCAAGAAGCAGGAGCGGCTGAATCTGCCCATGTCAGAGGTGGTGATGGCGGTCTCCAAGAAGAAGCTGGAGCCGCACGTGAAGGCGCTCGTGTTCGAGCTGTGCTGCAACGACGAGGACGACAACGACGTAGAGGTGCCGTACGTGAAGTACACGCTGCCCTAAGCGGCGCGCTCCTACAACCCGACATCGCCGCTCGCCGCTCGTCGCGAGCCCCGCGCCGCACACACACTATACTATCGCGGTGTCTACATTTTTAGCACTAACAGAGGGTATTTTTAAAGATATGAAGGATAGATCTAAATGTTTTACACAGGTCGCGAGTGCCTCGGAGAGTTGGAAGGACGGAGTGGAGTGTACAGTGCTAGTGTTAACTGTGTGATGATGTCTAATTTGTGCTTTAAGACACGCTTTTATTGTCTACTGATTACTTACGTATATTTATAGTAGTATATAATTATTTGCTCACACCCTACTACACCCATACCCACCCCGGTTGTTTAATCTGGCAATCTAAACTTATTTCCCCACTTATTTGACAAAATTATTAAATAATTTAATGTTAAAAACGAATGGGCAGTATATGGAAAGAAAATAAATAAAAATTCGAACGGAATTTGTGTTTTAATTCAATTTCGATTTCATTATCTACCAGTTTATTACTTAATTAAATCTGTACATAAAAATGAGTCTTGTTTGTTTAAACAGTTGAAAATAAAACTCGTAAAGGATATATAGTGACTTGAGAAAAATTTATTTTTAAGTTTTAAAATTAATTCCTGTATTTTTGACTTTGCTTACACCATACAAAGCATGTGCTTGAGAATAACATTTTAATTTACAGATACACAAGTAAAACAGAAAGAGGCACTGGCACATATTTTTGTAAATATATCTGATAAATCTGAAAGTACATTATATACTCTTAGAAATACTGTTAGGGTTTACATTATTTTTTTTAAAACAAAATTAAACAAAATGTTACCATACTGAATTAAAAATTAGTTGTTGAATTACTGGTATACAAACACGTCAATATTTTTTATTATAAATTAAACCGATCACGATTAAAAAGTTACCTCTAATGACTACAATTTTATTGTTACAGTAAAGTGATATATTCCGCGAAAAATATTATTACAAAAATACTAAAAGAAAGCGTAGCTAGCTAAATCGTATTAATTTTATACATTTTTCAAAATAATCTCATTTTTATAATTATTAATTCGAAGCAAGCTGGCAACACAACAAACACAATCACACCTTATTCAAAATATAAACTAAGTGCAGGCACCTCGGCTTCGGAAGCTTCAGGAATGTATACAACCTTAATTTATCACTTACGGTTCTATACCGTAATCAGTTCCATCTACTAACTTCTATACATGGATAGGCTATGAGCTGTTGTATTTTGGGCTTACTTGATTTTCGCCATCTTGGCGTTGACTGTTACGGTTAGTAACGGTGGTGAGGATTCAAACTAATAATGGAGTTACACTATCAGTAACATCAACAGGCGCATTTACGTCGAAACGAAGCAAAAGATATTATATCCTAGCAACAACCTATCCATATATAGAGATTAGTGCTACTATGATTTATCGTGAAATTCCACTGACAAAACAATTCATCTCTGTTTTTTTTTCTTTGAGAACGAGAGGTGAAACTACTTTGTTAAACAAGTATGGACAGTGTTAAACCACAGTTAGGCCGGCAGCTTTACTTTATGAATATTCATTTTTTATGCTTTGACATAGGGCGATGTACTTTATTTCTAGAAATACATTTTGTTAAATTTAATCACCCTTACAATGGTGTAAATTTCATAGAAATTGTGAAATGTGATATTTTTATTAAATTTTTAGAATAAATCTTTAATTAATACGCATTTTTAAAATGGCCAATAAATAGCTTAAATAATGCATTAAAATAATAAGCTCATACAAGTGAATTGCAGCGTCTTATATCTAGCTGGTAAGTGAGGGGGTGGTCAGAGGTGGGCGGGTGGAGGCGGGTGCGGCGGCCAGCAGAGGGCGAAGCACCCGGGGTGCGGGGCCCGCGGTCAGCGCCACGGCCGCCGGCGCGGGCTGCCCACGCACCGCGCCCGCAGCCCCGACTTCTCGCCGCTAAAGCTCTCTGTCACATTCAACAACCTAAATGTTACACATTATATCAACAAACGATTTAAAATTAATACGTTATAACAAATGTACATACAATCAAAAAATTAAGTTTAGAAAAACTGAGTGTGGACACAATGTATAAATATCTTCTTAGGAATAACTATTTCCGATTCAATCAACCTGTTGATTAATGATAGGTAAATGTCAAATCAAATGTAAGCAAAAAACACTAACAAACGGTGCAAAGCAAGCTTCGAATATCATAAGAAGATAAAAGAATATTAAAATGAAAACCTATAGCGATTTTTTTCGCCAGGATTCCTTCGTAAATAATACGATCTTCATAAAACATTCAAAGCGAAAATTTCAAGACAGCCAGACATGTGAAACGTGCACATTGCAAAAAAGTTTTCTATATACTGTGAAAAGTACGACACTGCTCGTGAACATGTGCGCCAACACAAGAGCGTCGAGCATGCGCGACGAACATGCGTGACATTCGCAAGCTAACGGTCACACAGAGCGTGGGTTACCGTGGCTGGAGTGCGACATGGCGGCGGCGGGCGAGGGGCGGCGCGCGCGCGACCCGAACGACCCTGAGTGCGACTGCGACATTACGTCACTGAACGCGCGCCCACAGCCCATGGAAATATTTTGTATTAAATACACGTTGTTTTGCAGAATAATGCGTTCACATGAACAAACTCTTCTTACATATCCCATTTCACAAAATTTATCCATACTTTGTTCGGTTTTCCTCTAGCTTTCGTATCGTCAGATCCATCTGTTTGTTAATTCAATAAAATGGAAGATATTTACGACTTGTATGTGCGATATGGTATGTTACACTCACGTAGGGCGGTAGTGTCTGGGCGAGGCGCGCAGGGCGAGCGCACGCTGGCGGGCGCGGTCCGCGGCCAGCAGCGCGCACCGCTCCGCCGCCGTGCTTGTGATGAACGTCTCGTGCAGTGAGTAGCACGCAGCTGTTATCTGGAAGAATATCACAATATGCGTCTGTATCACTCGTACAAGAACATCATATTATCTCAGTTTTTCCAAAGAGTATAAGAGAGAGGGTTGTTTTTGTATCCGTGTCTCAGATATGGAAAGCGATGTTTTTTTTCTTCCTAGATTTTTCATACATTCATTTCATAAAAAATATAAAAAACCACACCATATAGACAAGACAAAAATGACAAACCAACATGTTAACATAAACTATTGCAGTGTGTTACGAATCCACCAGCACTTTTGACATTGCAGCAAATGTTACAAAATCTGTTAGACGACTGACAACGAAATTGTAGACGATAAGAATAACACGTGAAGACTTAAAGAGAAACCAACACCATTAATTACAATAGGATTATTTGCTTTAATTAGTATGTTAGGTTGAATGAACTAAAATATTATTATCATCAATAAAGTAACCCGAGCGATATGTATATCGATTGTATGGGAGTGTGAGTTTGTGTGACGTCACCTGCTGTATAAGACGACGGTGAAGGTCGACGTCCGGGCCGCGTATGCCGGCGCGCTCCTGGTGCAGCTGCAGGGCACAGAGCAGCGCGTCGCGGATGGTCTGCACGGTGGCCCGCACGCGCTCAGTGCGCAGCAGACGACGCACCAGGTAACCTTTCGCGTACGCTACTATCTTAGTCGCCGCCGCGCGCTACAATCCACCAGCCAGATAATACATAAAATTGTGTTCCCAACACCGATCACAATAAGCAAACGAGGCAACAAGCGATGACGTACGGAAACTTCATTTGATAGACGATACGTTCAAATAATGCTGAACACGTGTGGAAGACAATTAAAATGCGACATATATATCGGCTCAAATATTAAATGTTTGAAGAATAAATAGAAAACGCAAAGGAATAAATAAAAAATAATAATAATGCACAAATTTTATACAGAAATAAGCATCAAATCTTTAAAAACCCTGAAAAATTAAACATGAATTATTAGCTAGCTCAAAATGACATCTTAGTTAGTTACCTCTTGGGGTGTAGGGGGAGTTCGGAATATATCTTTTTTAAGAAGTCGAGCACGAACGTCAAGAATTGAATTCTTTATAGAATCTTCTACGCTTTTTATGGCGCGATCGGTCGCTTTAGGTTCGTCTTTCGTCGTCAACGATCTATCGTGATCGGTTCTTTCGCCGCTGCGTAAGTTTTCTACGTCGACCTGGCTCGTTGGCCGGACGTCCTCACTGTTGTCTGAAGGGAAGGTGACGTTCAGGTCGGCCATCGTGTCGTTAGTGCGGTCGGTCAGGATGAGGTCGTATTCCCGGTCGGAAGAAACGCTCGTATCGTATATAAGTTTTCTAGAAGTGTTTCTATTGTTAGGTGAACGATTCCTTATCTTTTCTACGTCGCTTTTGGCCGGTGAGGTTTTTGAATGACTTTCATTCTTGAATTCCTTATGCTGTTTTTTTATACTGCTAGTTATATCTCTACTCTTTTTCAATACGTTATCACAATGATTTAAGTAATTATTTGTATCAGTCAATGTGGTAGACACGGGGCTGTCGCGGTCACTCGTTTCCGGAGGTTTGGGAGTGATTAACTGACTGAGGCTGACGGGTCCTCGCTCTGGCGTTTCATTTTTGTCAATCCAAGCTTTTTTCACTTCGCCAGGTGATTTTGGGCAAATCGTTTTCAACTGATTAAAAAGCAAATTATTTTGCTCCTCGAAAACCTGTTGCAGGAGAATCTGTTCCTTTTTTTGTTTTTCAACAAGTGTTGCCATTTGAATGAGCTGCTGTTTTTGTATTCTCTCGTAGAGTTCTCTCACTCGCTTGGCGGGGTCAGGGTCATCGCTCTCAGAACCTTGTTGTGGTGATTGCAATTTAGGTTCCTTTGACTTTTGATGAGATAATGTTTTATCGTTAACATTTTTAGTTGGATTTCGAGATTTGTGATTTCTATGTATCGGCTCAGACTGTATTGTTGGTTTAGAAGTTAAATTACTATAGCGTGTTTTCTCGGAGGCTGCGGATCTAGATCTTAGAACTGTTTGTCCTTTAGACTTGTCAGCTGACCTTGACAAAAGGCGTTTCTTAGTGCCATTGCATTTTAAATCATTACTTCCATCTAAAGCTACATTAATAACAATATTATTTTTCTTTAATTCCAACGCCATATTTGACCATGTCGCCTTTGCTGTCTCTAAGTCCCAACTCTTACGTTTTTTGTTTGGTGAAGTTAGATTGGATCGTGACTCGCTCATAGATATTGCTGCCATCTCTACACCGGTGCTCAGAGACTGTATCTGCAAGTGTGCAAGCAACATGGGACTAGGAGTCAGTACAGTGTATGATCTTTGTCTTATTAATGGATTGCTTTGTGTAGTTTTTTCACTACCTTTGTGTATGTCATTAAGGGAACCTGTAAAGCTTTTTGCGCCGAGTGATGATGGTCCATCATATTGCATGCTGGATAGGAAATTATCCATTGTAGCACTTTTATTATTTATACCAAAATTAGATTTATTTGATGGTTGCTTTACTTTATCACAATCGAGTTTGAAATCGGGTTTGTTTTCTTTCGTAGGTTTTTCGTCATCATGTTCCGGTAAGTCTGAGGGTGTGTCTTGAGGTAGAGTTTTATTTCCATGCAATGTTGTTTCATCTGTGTGGCTAAAACTCAAACTTACATCAATAACTAATTTTGATGACTCGTTTAATGCTGTATCAGTAATTGGTGTCAAATTTGAACATAATTTGTCCGAGTTGTTACTTGATAATGAACTGAGTTTGGGTGAATTTGTTACTGATCTATTTGAAGATTTTTCATTGTCGTCATTTACAATTGTTTCATTGTTAACAGATACTAAATCATCTACTGGCAATTCATAGTTCTGTTCAGATTCAGGTATTTCTGGTGCATCAGTCTTATCTTCGCTGGCTTCAGAATCACTGCAAGATGTAAATGTCTTCAGGAGCAGTATTCGTTTCTCCACTTCTTTTGCCAGTAGTTTGTAATATTGCATTTCTTTACGGCATTCTTTCGACAACTATAGAAATAAAGTTATTTTAAAAAATATTCTCAACATTGATAAATGTTAATACACATATAAATGATCTTATGAGGGTATATGTCAAATTTTCTCAGGTACAAAATTAAAAAGATGTGGCTTAGAGTACAAAAATTGATATAGAGTAACCCTAAGAGAAGTGAACAAAGAAATAATATATAGCAATGACCTGTGAGGTCCAGTAACTTTGACTTGCTTGTATGTTATTGATATTTGGCAGTCTTATTTCTTCGGGAAGAAAACCTATGCCCAGCACCACTGCCATGAAAATGAACTGCAGCAAGCAAATAATTTACAATAATAGAGAAACCTAAATTATGTGTAAGTACTATATAAATTATATTGATAGAAAGTTTTGAAGTTAACCAAGATATAAAGAGTTATTTGCATAATTGTTTAATTTCTTGAATTCAGATCAGATAAGAAAATTAAATTGTTAAGAAAAACCTTACGGGTTTGAAGCTTTAAACAAAACCAAGTGCAGTCTAGACTTACAACAGGGGGCAGAAGTGGCACGCCATTTATCTTCATGCAGGACAAGTATTGTCCAGATTGCCTTACAGATTTTACGTCCCACGGGTCGTTCATTTTGTTTAGATCAATTTCAGTCTTAATATAAACTAATGTTTTCAAGTTTATCGACGATAGACAACAATCACCATATTATATGAAACAGATCCTTGCAAGTAGAAGTACTACCCCTGCATCTCTACTGTTACCATCACTGCGTAAAATCTGCACATTAATACAAGAAGAAAATAATTTTGTAAGACATGGCCTGTATCAATAAAAGCGATGTTGTCACGGCTCGATTACGTCAGTTATTTAATTGGCCGGTTTCTTAGCAAATAAACAACTTCAATTTTATTGATTTACATTTTTTAAGCTGCCAACGGTTAAACACCGTGAATTTTAATATTAATCCTAAATATATGCTTCCGAAATGAAATTGTTTGTTTTGTTTGCTAAGATTGCAAATAGCTTTATTTTATAACAGCAAATCAGTTAGACAGTTGGGTAATTAAACAGATAAAATATTTTTTTTGCTACGTTGTACGCAATATTACATTTAAAAATCGACAATTTAATCAATTTTGAGGTAATAAAAACTATGAACAAGCATAAAAATTTATTTTTGAATTCCTATAGGTTAAAAGACCATCCTATATCTTCATATTGTACGTTTTATGAAGTGAAAAAGAAGATTAACTTAATTTTTGATCCGTGCTACAATTGGAACGTATTATCATTATCAATGACATTGACAACTAGACAATTCATCAACTGTCATATTCGTACAGTCATCCGAAGTCATCCATACGTTTGTTATAATTCATTTTACAATTTATATGCAAAAATGATAGTAAATTAATTAACATAAAAAGTTGTCTGTATAAGCAAAAGTTCACATTTTAAGAAAAGTAAATTACGTACAATAGGTAACAGCGTTGGATCAATTTAAATTCAAAATGGAAGTTATACCAGCAGCCAAGCAGGCTCTTATGTGTTTCTTAATATCAAACTTAACGTTTATCGTCTGTTTCCTAACTGGAGTGCTTGGATCTTCATCGGAATTGTGGGCTCTTAAATATTGGGGACCTGCATTATATTTTTGTTTGATTAATTTCGTGTTAAAATATTGCTACAAGGGTTTCATATACGAGGTAATTTTAATGTTATGCTTATTGTTTAGTTCCATCTTAAAAACCAATAATATAATCGCAATGTTTTTGTAGGTATCAATAAGGGCAACTGGATTAGGAGCTGCAATGGCTGTGGGCTTGTACCTAGTCACATTTGATAATGGCTGGAAGGTTTTTGGCTTGTATACAGTGGTTCTGACATTCTTCCATTTCTCCGAGTTTGTGGCAGTGGCATTATCCAACCCAAAGACAGTGACCATAGATTCCTTCATCCTGAACCACAGTGTGCAGTATGCTGTTGCAGCAGTTGCTAGCTGGGTGGAATGGGCTGTGGAGTACTACTTCTTCCCTGGTATGTGAATAACATTGTTAGTAACAAAGACTATCTAGGATATGATTCATTTTGAGTAATTTACTGGCAGCATCTTTACTGCAAATATTGATTATGCTTGTCCTTGCTTTATTTTTGTGGTAATACAATTTTTGTGTGATTTGTCCCAGACTTCAAAACACACTTCTGGATTTCAAGTTTGGGAGTGGTAATGTGCATTGGTGGAGAGCTGATCAGAAAAACGGCCATGTTCACCGCTAAGCATAACTTTTCACACACTGTAAGTGGTCATTTCTAATAAATAAATAAATACATTTAAACCTGTATAAGCAAGAAAATTGTGTTAGAGAGAAACCTCTACAGGGGATAAAAACATATTCCACTGGATTTTTGCTTATCCAGATTCAAATACCTTTATAATTATAAAGAGAAAATATATTATTGCTTCAAATCAACAATAAAGTTTTTAACACTGACACTGGAGTTTACAGTAGTATTAACTGTTACAAAATTGGCTGCAGTACCACTCAAGGAAGAAACATAAAATGGGAGTTATTTCACCCTTTGTGAGATTATTGTATGTGATTTGATACATCTGTCTCTTATGTGCTTAGGTGGAGTTTGTAAAGAGACCAGAGCATCAGCTGGTAACTCACGGTGTATATTCTCTGTGCCGACACCCAAGCTATGTGGGCTGGTTCTACTGGTCTATTGGAACTCAGGTACTCATCATTTCATTATAATCGTACTGCAGATTAGATTCACTAATTTTACGGATTAACATATAAAGTGAATGGAAGCCATAAATTGTAGACAAAAGGTTTATTTATCTAGTTTGTTTTTCCAGTATTATCTAAGCTGTGGCCTTATCCATTTCTATTTTATTACAATTAATTTATTGTGAGTATGATTTGATTTTTGAAGTTATTGAAGACCTAAATTTTTTGGTCTATAAAATCTCCAAAATACTTAAATACTTTTTTAAATTTTTGTTTCCAATTCTAAATATTATGCTGAAAACTATATTTTTTACACAACTGTCTTAATGATTAATGCTATTCTCTCTATTAGTCCGAAATTGTCACTCAAATTCTGGACAAAAATTTCCTTTGTTAAATATGTTCTATCTCTTTGCAGATAATATTATTAAATCCTATCTGCGTGGTGGTGTACGCTCTGACATCATGGACATTCTTCCGTGAGCGCGTGTACGCGGAGGAGATGACGCTGCTTGGATTCTTCGGCATACACTATGATGAGTATCAGAAGAAAGTTGGCACCGGCCTGCCTTTCATTCTGGGCTATGTCCCCGAGAACAGGAGACAAAAGATCAAAGAAAGGCACTGGAGCTACTAATATTATGATCATAAAGCTTCAAGGTTAAAAGGTAGAGAAATATATAAACAAATAAATAAAAAAATAATAATTAAGAAGTACAGTTGTGGACGTTAATTTCCTACCCACTTGAAAAAGTCACTTGACACTAAAATACTTATAAAAGCTAAATTTTAGCTCTTACGTTGTAAGTTTGGTATTAGAGGAATTTTGATATTAGAACTTATGTGGGTAGTTAATTTAATTCTTTAACTGTACACTGAAATATTACATTTACTACTTGCATTTACAGTTTACAGCTGATTTTCATGTTGTCTAGTCAAATATATTAGGTCTTTCACCGTGGGTTTCCGACAACAAAATCCCAGTTTAAAACATATTGTTATCTCTGTTTTGTCAAAGATGAAAGATAAGGATGACAATGTTTTTTATACATAGATTTTGGTGTCAGAAAACCACGGTTACAGTGTTTGTCATTTGTGATCTGTCTTTCATTTGCGAGAACTCAAGCAAATAATTTGTTATTCCTTTGTATGGGATTTATAAAATTACGATATTCATATTGAAAGTTCATATGTTAATGTTTATATTTAATAACTTCTTTTTTTTGGTGGCTTAAAACTTCTTGCGACTCGCTACGCAGAACACAAGTTTGTATTGGGTGTAGTGGTGTGCGAGAGGGACCTTGAGCCGCCAACATATTTGAAAAGAATTATACATACATTCTCAAATGTATTGTTAAATATATATAAATTTTATTATGTAGGTAGACTGGTGTGTGTATGTGTGTGTGTGTGTGTGTGTGTGTACGTGCGTGCGTGCGTACGTACGTGCGTGCGCGCGCGTGTGTGTGTGTGTGTGTGTTTTTGTCACAATTTTCATTATAATTATAATATTACAATGTTTTTACTTACAGTATTTACTTAATAAAAGCTGAAGAACAATTTTATTATTAAGGGTCACATATTTTAACAATAATAGTTGTAAATAGAAAATTATTTATGACAAATAATTTACTTAAATTAAGTTTGTTGGTTACTTACTTGTTACATTGTATTTGACTTTTCTTGGATAAAAACTCATCTCCATAAATTAAGTTATATGATTTTTTGATACTATAGATTTTCTTGTGTTTACTCTATACAATAATTATGTATACATAATAATAAAATTGGAATGTCTGTATGTAATATCGAGATAATTTCATATTTCGTATATATTTTATTATATATAAGTATATTTGCATTGGTGATAACGTAAAACCATTTTTTTATTGTTGTCTGTCTGTATGTCTGTCTGCAACACCGCGATTGCAATTCTGCGCTGAGTATTTCATAATTTGTTAATAACATGTTTGTTAAATAAAATATTTGTGTTGAAAGTTTTACATATTTTTTGTGACGAACAAAATGAAGTAATAAAATTATTTTGATATAAATTTTTTTTTTAGTAAATACAATAATTAACATCAACATTTTCATATAATAAAATTAACTGTTACTCAAAGGGAATCTGAATGAAGATTTCTTATATTAAATTCACATTTAAAGCCTCTAAGCAATGAACCTCCTTAACTAAAAACATGAGAAAAACAAATATCTACAATTGGTCGTTGACTAGAGATAACATCCTAACTTCTTATTGTTTAGCCAATTTTAAGTTATTGGAAATAACGTCGGTAAAATAGAAGAAATTGCAAGAACACATTGCGTAGTCTACAATTACGTCATACATTGTGTCCAATGTTTGCAAACATAACATGTTGGCGACTAGCGATAGTGAACTGTTTGAGCTCACAGCGAACAGAGAACACGACCAAATGTCTACCGCCACTGTATTTTTGTTTTTACTCGACAATTTGCCCGGTAAGTAGTTATGTACTAAATAGTACACGTTTTTAAAATCATGATAGCCACTTGTACCATATTGTATATGATGAAAAAGATCAACACAATAAAGATCCTAAAACAAATCCCGAATTTAGTGCAAGAGTGATCTTTTCTACAAGTTCTGCATGGCTTAGTATTTTTTTTTAATTTAAAAACTGTTGAAACAATTCATTCTTTTTCTGAACTTAAAATATGTTTATTTTTTTGACAGATTTCCAAAACTCTTTAAATTTAACACTAGCTACTTTATTAGATAAAGAAGATTTATCATTGGAATTTTCTCTCATACATAAATGTAACCCGACCGTCGCTCAGTCTGTGCTGAACGACATCAAAAATAATGTCGAAGAAGAAAAAGTATCACACGAAAATGTAAGTGATATAAAACATGATGATTTCAAAGATGCTTTCGACGAATTGTCTCCTGAAACTCTGTACAACATAGGGACAGTGTTTGACAACACGATGGAAGATTCAGAAAATATTGATTCATATGAAACTAAAAAATATAATAAAACACCTAACATTCGACCAGATTATCCGAAATACTACAAAGATCAGGAAGGAGATGATTTTGATATGGACAATGCGATAGATTCTGATATCTTTGAAAGCAAAGTAAAACTTCCCGAGAGCGTGCCGTCTATGGTCGCCATGTTTGAAACGCTGTCAAATGTTACCGCGCAAACTTGTGGCGGGACATTGCTGTCCCCGCGATGGGTTATCACTACTGCTACTTGCTTGGACTTATTGTCTGGTAACGGGTAACTAATTTGTTTTTTTTTTTATAATTTAAAGAAATAAAACAAATCTTTACTATACTTATGCGTGATGCACTTTCAGTTCGAAATATCATAACTCAAGTAAAAGTGAATACACGATAGTTGCGGGCGCAAACAATCCATTGAACGATGGGACAATACATCACGTCACTGATATGATCCTCTTTCCCAAAGAGACGCTTAAAAATAACGCTAGTATTGTAGACAATTTTGATGGTACTAAGAGAACAGGCGTACACGTTGGCAACGTTACCTTGGCCCTGCTGAGGATAACACCACCAGCGCACATCCAGACATTACCAATATCGCATGTCCCATCAAAGGGAGAAGAAGATGTACAACTCTATGGATGGATTTTAGTAAAAGTAAACGATTTTTCCTTATGCAATGATATTTAAGCTATTCGTCAAGAGAGGGCGCTGTTTATTTTTCAACAATTTTTTTGTTACTTTCAGGAAGCAAATGGTAAAGAAGTGATGAAAGCAACGTCAATTTCAGCTAAAACAATGCGCTCCGAAGAGTGCGGGGCTAATCTAAGCAATGTATATCACGAGGCAATGTTATGTCTTAATCCTAAAAGGAAGACGCGAAAGGACATCGAAAGTAAAATTAAACAGGTAAATTATATTAATAGACATGGTTTTTAAAGTGTTTTTGTATTTTCAGTATATTATTACATTTTAAAGTATTTATCTCGCTGTACGATAACATGAAGGTATCATTGTCTATGATTTGTTTGGAAAAATATAAGATCGAAAATCTATTGGTGATTGTTGGCATATTTAAAAAAAAATGAAGGTCTGCTTGAAAAGTACAGATTTTAAGAAATTAACATATAAAAATAATTAAAACGATTTGTTTTGATGATGAGAGGTATGACGTTACAATATGTATTTTTACCCATATTCACTAAAAAGATGATGTACAGATGCACTCAGGCGGGCCGGTGCTGGCGGCGCGCAACAACAAGCCCATGCTGTTGGCAGTCGCACAGTTCGAGCTGCCGTCGCTCCAAGCGCCGCTCTTTGCGCACCCCCTCGCCGCACACGCCACCTGGATTAATGCAGTCATAGCATATAAATAATAGTAACACTATTAAGAAAAACATTTTACATCACTACAGTGTTTTGTTCTTCAATTCTGATAATATTGTTTGATCTATTCAAAGCTAGATGGCGTTGTAACGAATGGTATTTAAAATTAAATATTTGCCACAACCATTAGTTTTTTTATAACTTTTCCCAATTTTCACTCTAATTTAAGTTTTATTTTATCTTATTTTGGTCATGAATTTTTAAATTTATCCCTTAGTAGCCTGATTTACATACGAAAGTGATTTATTTTATTTACTGTGTTTGCTTGATAAAATAAAACAATAATGAAATTTGTTTTTTTTTTTAAATTTCGTTGGAAAGAATATTATACAACAGTTAAATAGGTACAGCCAACCTATAAAAAAAACTAATAGTAATGTGAACATTCGGTTTAAAAGATTGGTATCAAAATTGAAACTCTAGGCTACTAAGGGTTATTCATAACCCTTTAATGCGAAAGTTGCAAAATATTTAAATCGAATTAGTTGTGAACGCAACAAACAACAGATCTAATTGTTTGCTCACATATTAAGTATTGCGTAAAATAATCGATTCGAACTCAAGCTCAAACACTAACCTTAGTGAGGTGAGTTCAAACCCGCCTCACTAAGGTTAGTCTATGCATAATTGATGACTGACTATCCTAGTTACGTAGTACCAACCTCGACTCCACGTTCAAGAACCATCTTGTAGTACAACTTTACTAGACTAAACTGACTGTTTGAAATAAAACAATACAGTTTAAATTGTAATTAATTTCGCGATTTATTCAAAGCTATTAAGTATTTGCTTGTATGGTTCATCTTGTTTGTTTTTAAATACTATTTACAGTTAAAAGCTCCAAAATTCCTGGCCCACGATCAGATGTTACCCTGCACGACATTCAACTAAAATACGTCATTTGTATAAAATTGGAAAATGGCCAAGTTTTTGTTACATCGATAGTTATACACAATTTTACGGTCGGAAGAACTTAGAAGACAGTAAAGTTACTTTACTTACTTCTACTTTTACATCACAATTTCATTAATATTACGACAAAGTTTTGTGGACGTCTCACGTAGAAGTTTTTACTTACAATTTTGCTTATAACTGTGACTAACTATTGACGCATATCGTTGTCTCTACTTTATCAAAGATAATACAAGGGATGACAATATGTGTCGATACAAATGTCACTGCAGTGGAAACGCACAGCAAGGATGTAGATGAAGAAGCGTAATAAAATTTCTCAACTGACGATTTCCCTCCGAAAGTTACTGTACTGCGTTATCGGCCAATGTTGCGGTGGCCAAATTCTTTATAAATACGGATACATTAAAAACTAATCTAGCTTTAAATATCATTTACATTTCCGTGTAAAATATTCTTCATGACATACGAGTACTTACTGTAACTTGCAATCGAGAGCACATTCGTTTATCTTTGTATTTGAATTAAATATGCGTTTATATATTATGAATTATTTCGTCTTTAAAGTTGTATATAAGGCATTCATAGTATGTAATCAGTACTTTTATATAACTCCCGTCTCCTTCTATTCAACAATTACTTTTGCTAGACCTTAACGTCCTTATATGGATCTAGATTGCATGGGTACCCTTGGTGAAATTCACACATGACGTCACATTCGAAGAAAGTGTGGAAGGCAGGCGGCGCAGCGGGCACGGAGCGCGGGCAGTCAGTCAGTCAGCTCAGTCAGTCCGCAGGTAACAGTCGCGGCGGGCGCGCGGCATGGAGGAGCTCGCGTAGCAATGTCGTTCCGCAGACTGCTGAGCGCGGTGCGGTCCGCACGGGAGGCCCTCACCCGGGGCGCCCCGCTGCCGGACGGCATCCTCAAGTCCCTCATATCTCTCATCGTGATCTGCTGCATAGCGGTCTCCTCGCCGCAGTCGGCGTCGGCCAAGCCGTTCGCCTTCAGCTTTCCCGCAGGCTGGTCGTTGGCCGGGCTGGTGGGCTCGGTGGGCGCGCGCTCCGAGGAAGCGGAGCGTCGAGAGCCCGCCGCCGGCGTCAAACCGTACACCGGCCGGCGTGTTGGAAACGACACTCTGCGCATGGTCTACCATCACGACCAGACCGTGGCTGTCGTCGAGCTGGGGCCCAGCAAGCTGCTGCTCAATTGCGAGCTCATCGAGACTTAGTGAGTACAAGATTGAAATTAATATATAATAATCATTTGTGTTTAATTTATATTAATTTTTTTTTTGTTGTCAATAAAATTTATTAGGTATCAGTAAATTTAATAATAAGTTTGCGAAATATTTGCTACGCGACTATCCAAGCTTAGAAATTGTTTGAACGTAAGTTTTCTGTTACCCTAACAACAAATAAAATTGAATAGTAGAGCCTCATGTAAGGAAGAACCTAATAATCTCCGTACACATTATTCGTTTCTGCAATGGAAACCTAAAACATACTGCAGAGTAAAACGTTACTAATGAAATGTGACGTAACTTTTCAAAAATTTTAAAATGATATCCTCAATATTATTATACCATCATACAGCAATATCTTAATTTTATCAATTACTATCAGTGTAACAAATATATCATTCCCCGATATTATAAAAGGATATAAAATATCTTGCCGAAAATTATTTTTCAGCGCAAAGAAACTCAAATTGTGAATAGACTATTGTGAGTTGGTAGAGTTGCGAAGTGTCAATCTCATAGTCAATTGTGATTAATTTAAACCATTGGCCGGCGACGTGACGTCGATGCCTTTTACAATTCATTGGAAAAAATTAAACTCAATGCAATGCAATCGATACGTCAGAAAAGGCGGGAAATAAAATACCAACTATAACTTAACTAATTAACTTAAACTAAATGACGTCATGAAAAACAATTCTAACTAATACCAATTACAGATTAAGTATAAACCGAATTAATTAACATTTATCAGTAAGTACATCACGCAAAATTTGCACTGATTGTAGAGTTCAGAAAAACTAAATCTATAATTTTCTACATAGTACAAAGCAATAGTGCGATATGTTATTATAAATGAAGCTTAATAAGCTGCTAAAAGTGAAACATTATTCTAAAAGAAAACGACGTAAACAGAGAGAGCTATCAATCGGTGATGTTGTGTAAAGTTGGTCACGTGACAGTACTGATGGGGGCGCTCGTGTGCCCGTGACGCAAACAGGCGCAGGGAAGTGTCCCTTGACAGGATCCGAGAATTAATGGCAGAATGGACCTGTGAGTCATTACGAGCGGGGTCGCAGACAAGTTTCCTAGTTTATTTATCAAGATATACGAACGTTTGAATCTCTATGATCAAGGCGCATTATACAATCAGCCTTAGGATTGAATGGTTAACTGCATTATAAAGCATCAAGGCAGTTTGGTTACGGCTGAAATAAAGATTTTATCTGAAGTTTGTTACTCATTGTGTGATTATTCAACCTACATTTTTTAACCAAATTCTTAGTTATTAGAAATTTTACTCGACAGACGCTACTTCACCAGCGCAACATGTCGTTTTAAATAAGTATCCAAATGTAATTCTGTTATTCTACAAACGATTTTTCGAAAAACGAAATAAATTAGACCCGCTGTTTATAAGCTTTATGGGGCCACGCTGTAGTCACGCTGTAGACAACAATTCGATTAAAAGCGTCCGACAAGCCACAGCGAGGTCTTGAATGGAGGTATGGCTTGTCGGACACATAGTCCGACTTGGCCTGATTGAAACATTAGCTTGTCGGACATATAGTCCGACATGGCAGCTAACGTGTTGACAGTATCATAGTCTGTTCTCACTCCCTCCATCATTGGTATTAGTAGTTTGTCGTCGGTTAAGTTGTATGTACAAAGGGACGAAAATTGAATATAAAACAGCTCATAATGATAGCCCCAGAGTTTCACTGAATACGGAACGACGGTATATGTATACTAATTATATTTTAATGAGCCTTTAATTATATACAAGTGACACGTGCCTCGCCAAAGTTGTTTAATAATATTGATTGAAATAGAACAATCTGTTATATAAATACGGATGTTTCTTAATTTGTAGCGAACAATAGAAATCTAATTAACATTCAGTCCATCAGATAGTTCAACAAACTGGCCTCCCATCTGACATGTTACCGAGCCATCTTGAAAACTTTTCGCAAGATGTTGGCAAACAGGTAGTGAGCAAGGCTCTAACAACGAAAGAACGAAATGTCGGCGTCGCGATCTTGTCGACGAATCTCTGACATTGCACTGCGTTTGTCTAGCGACTAAAATCGCCGTGTTTTGAAGATTCGCGTAACCTTGTTACTAAATGCTTAAGCTGACAATGCCGACACATCCTGAACAAAAAGTTGTTGTCTCTATTTTTTTCAAAACAAAGACAGGGATGGCAGACGTTTCGGTAGTGGTAACCCATGTTATACGCATATCTTAGAATGAAGATTCAAATCCGGTTCGTTTTATAATTAAGGGCCGGTTCTAAACTAACTCAAGGTGACGGTCATTCAATGGAAGTCAACTAGTTTCTACAACCACTTTCACTTTAAGCGATTAATCTCACCGCTATATTTTTCCTAAAATGTTGAGTTCTGATATTTAACTAATTAATTTCATTATAACATAGACAATCGATAGTCTATTACAATTTGTCCAGTAACGTCCGGCATCACCCTTGACCTGCCGCTACTGTATACGAACACCAGGTACGCTTCCAAATTGGTAACTGTTGTAGACTGTAATCGATTTTATAGCTATTTATTGAAAGGTACGACCTTAACATTACGACTTCAATCGACAGACACGCGAGTGTGATATTTTTTAAAGTTAGTAAAGTAAAGTAAAGTAAATTGCATTGCATTTTACTATACAACAATCATAACCAATGTTACATACGTTTCAAAGATTAAAAATATTTATCGTTAAATTAGAACTAAATTCTAAAATGATACAATTACCATTTAATTATGTATGAGAATAATTTAGACAAGAAACATAAGAAATGCACATTAACATAAGACACATAACTCATAATGTTTGCGTGTTGTTTCACAAGAGAGCATTACAAAATTTGCTGATGATTATCATAAATAACATCATCAGGTTGTCGTAATAATGCTGACTCACTCTCTACATTCAATATTCATTACTTTA